GGTGTGTGTTTGTGTGTGTGATGTAGTGGGGTCTGCACAAGCCCAAATCGGGAAATGTTGGTAGACTGCCAGTCCAGATTTAAGGCAGGCTGGAGGGTCGGGGGACAGATACCGAGGGAGACCGGGGCTCGAATGGCTTCAATGAAAACACGCCTGACGGGTGCAGTGGTAGATGAATTAGTGTGCATGTTTGTACGCGTCTTTAGCAATCCAAGAGTGCACTTCTGGAGGTGTGTATGATCTTGGGCTTTGACACCCGTCCCGGGTGGGAAGGGTAACCTTTGGAGGGAAAAAGACCAACTCTCTCACCATCACCAGCATCAACCGCAAGCCGGGACAAAGCACAAACACACATACACATACACAGCACAACACAACTCTAGGCTTTGTCACTGGTTCGGGGAAATGTTGTATTCGCTCGAGCCAAGTGAGGGTGTCAATGCTTGCAAACGCTTAGACTCACACTCGTCTACCATGTACCGGATTCGAGTACACAAATGACGGCACACTCGAGGACAGAGTTAACTTAATTTGGCCCGGCAGCCATGGCAGCAGAAAGAGGAAACCGGCTCGCTACCACCCAAACAGGCGGAGGCAACAAAAGACAAAGCGCTGCTGCGGGTTGGCGGCTATTCCCCTCGCCCATGCTACCACCTACGTATCCTCTTGCCGGGATGCTTTTAGGGTCTACCTTTGACACCAGGCACTACGGAGGTATTTCTCCAGGCCTATGCCCTTGTCTGTTTGGTACATGTGTCTGCTAACGCCTGCATGCTTGAGGAAAGGAAGAGGAGACACCAGGCGTACGGGAGGATGGAGAGGCTGCAAAGGATCAAATACAGATTTCCTTGAGAGGACCCGGGGGCATAATATCTTCCTGCCTGTCTTAAGGCCTTTGTGACAGGCATGTGCCTCGACATTCAGCCGCCCACGCGACACGGTTTCGGACGGCATAACAAAAGTGCAGACTATAATGACACACTCGCTCATCCATCCACACACGCAAATACACATCCACACACACACACACACACATAAATGCACAGTGTATTAGGAAGAAGATATATTCACCAATGAAGATA